TTTTAGACTCAGGGAGCTGAGCGACTCCTGGGGTCACCTCATGTCACCGTGCCTGGCGCACAGGTCTCCCCAGCCCCAGCCACATCAAGCCACATGCACTTCCGGGCTCTCCTTGTGTGTCAGGAAAGGGAGCTCACGGCTGCCCCAGGCTCCATTTTGGGCTGTTTTTGTAGTTAGTGTTTCTTCAAATCCATGTCCAGGTCCTTCTTTTTGTATCGACCTCCCTCTGGCAGAGGCGCGATGGGGCTTGGTTAAGAGCACAGACTGGAGCCAGGCTGCCTGACCCAGTCCTGCCAGCCAGCCAGCTGTGTGCCCCTGAGCCAATGCCTTCCTCTCCCTGTGCCTCGGTTTGCTCCTTGTGACATATAGAGGTGACAGCACCTGCCTTGTAAAGGCGTGAGGCTGTGAAGGACACGCAGCACCTGGCTCATCGCCAGCACAATCATGCATGTCACCGTTTGGGGTCACACTGCTGACCCGGGGACACTCAGAACAGGGCCGCTGCCTCCCAGGAGCTGAAGCCCTGCAGATATTTGAACACAGCTCTCACGTCATCCTTGACATTATCTGCTACCCCTTTGGGCACCGCACAGCACTGGCCTGCTCCAAGGCGTTCACTCCGCTGTGGCGCCCGCCTGTGAGCACTTCCTATCCCCTAGCACAGCGCAGACTCGCCTCTGCCACTGAATGTCTGTGTGGCCTCGGGTGAGTCACTTCACCTCCCTGAGTTTCAGTGTCCTCACCCGTGAGATGATTTTTGAAAATGGTACCTATTTTGCAGGGTACTCAGCTTCAGAGAACTTGCTTTGTGCACTTAGCACAGCGGCTGGCAAATGCCTCTTCTCACCATTAGTAGATGGACAACCAAGGTACAAACAAACTGCTGGCCAGAATAAACAGGATCCAAGCACCCGACAGCGACCCAACAGACACTCCAGGACGTCCGAGCGAGGACGTCACTTCACTTTACTGCCCTGTCACTTCAGGCTCCCCAAATATGAAGGCCTGACTCCTGGGGCCCCCTCCCCCCCATCGTTTAGCTAGAGGGGACCTAATTCTGATGTTGTCAAACTGCGTTTTTATCTTTGCACCTTCCATGAAAAAGAGGGTTTTGCTAAAGAACCCTCAGCATCAACATCAACGAGATAGCTGGGGAGGGTTTCAAATTCTTGGGAAGGTGGCCTGTATACAGTAGCTCTGATTCGCTTTAGAAGCACATGGTTCCTTACTCCCTTAAAGGATGGGCTAATTACAGATCAGTCAGAGGGTACCCCCTGCGGGTACAGCGCTGTGCAGGGTTCTGTAGCCCCTGCTGCCCAGGAGACTGCAGTCTAGCTGGTGTGCAAGGACATGTTCGAAGGCATGAGGACCAGGGGAGGATGGGGGAGGGCAGTGCCTGCGGACATGGAAAGTCCTGGAGGGGTAATGAGACAGCTCGCAGCTCAGCTGGGAGGGCCAGGAGCTCCGCCTGCCTCCACCCGCCTGCGAGGTGCCGCTCTTCTCCAGGTCCTCCTGACCGTGCAGGCATCTTGAGCCGCTGACTAGGCACAGCTATTCAGCCTGCCCCCCCCCCGCCCCGCCCCCGCTCCCCATACACACACCCATCCCTTTCTCCTCCCCAGCCCAGCAGTCTACCTCTGCCCACGTTTCCTAGAGGGGCCTGTGAGATTGGATGATAATGAATAACGAGCACCGGCTTTTAAATTTGTTTGTGAGGCCACGCTTTTCAGAGGCAGAAAGCAGACTGCAGGGGATCGAGGAGCCACAAGCAGTGAGGAGGTGGTGATAGCTGTCTTGAAGGTTGGCTGAGCAGAGAAGGAGAGAGGCTGGGCCGTGGGAGGGCTGGTTTAGGATGGGCACAGCTCAGGAAGGCTCATAGGCTGGCAGAGAGAGGGAGGGTGGGAAATGTGTGCTCCCAGGGTCCCCAGGTCAGAGAAGGAGATCATTCCTGCCCGAGAGGAGGGGCGCCTTCTCTGAGACAGGGAAGGAGGGGAAGTGGAGGTGGGGGGGGCGGGGGGGGTGAGTTTGCAGGTAGGGTCGGGAAGTTGAAGTCCGTCATCGTTGAGGCCCGGACTTTCTCAGGGAGGCAGGAGGGGAGGGGTCAGCTGGGAGTTGAGGAGAGGGCTGAAGGTTTGGAGCCGTTGCTGAGGAGGTGAGAGATGGCGCTGGTGAAGGACAAATCCAAGAGTATCCAGTGGTTTGGGGCCCACCGAGGTGGGGGCCACGGATGGGGTTTTCCAAGATGGTTCAGCAGGATGGCGTGTGGATGACCAGTCGGGGCTCAGCCTGCAGTCCAGCTGGATAGGGAAGGGAGTCAACAAGGAGGGATATTGGGAGAAACTGGAGGGATCGGCGTGGAGGTCTCTAAAGTTGAAGAATCGGGGACAGGAAAGTGAGGCCTGAGTGCCCTGGGAGACGGGAGGGGCCACAGAGAGGGTGGTGAGTACAGCCTGGAGAAGCGGTGCTGATGGCAAAGGCTGGGGTGAGGTCACGAGCAGGTGCACCTCAGGAGGACGGAGATAAGGCCCAGTGGAGCTGAGGGCAGGCACTGAGGGCAGGGCATTGGGTGGGCCGTCTCGTGTTGGTTGACATCGCCGAGGACGGCGGTAGCGGGAGTGGGATGGAGAGAACTGAGTCAGGTGCCAAAGTCTTCTCTGACTGTGGAGGCGTGGCAGGAGGTCAGAGGATGCCAGCGTCTCAGAGGGCAGAGAAGGTGTGGCCAGGTGGCCTCAAAGGTCCAGGGGTTTGCTCAGGGCGCCTGAGAGGGTGGTGCCGGGGATGCTGCCAGTACGGCTGCGCTTGGAACCAAGCAGCTTGGTTTCCCGGGGCGTGGGTACAATGGGAACAAGCGATAGAAGTGCAGTCAGCTTTTTATGTGGGAAGCAAGAGAAAGAAGGCAGGCAGGCGGGAGGGAGTGGCTTCCTTGCTTCCGAGGGGCATTGAAGCATCGGGGTTCCTGATGACTCCCTTCCCCTAACTCACCTCCCACAGCCGGCTGTGACCACAAGGTGACCTCCACCAGCGGCACCATCACCAGCCCCAACTGGCCTGACAAGTATCCCAGCAAGAAGGAGTGCACCTGGGCTATCTCTAGCACCCCTGGGCACCGGGTCAAGCTGGTGAGCTGCCCACACCCCCGCCTGCACAGGCACCCTGCTCCCCATGCCACGAAGCCGCCACCTCTTTCCTGTCAGCTCCAAAGCCCTGGGTACTTAGAGTTACTGCCCAGAGCAGGGCAGGCTGCAGGCTGATGGCCTGGCTGAGCCCACAGGGCTGCCACCCTGCGAGAAGCCCAGGCTGGTCTCAACAGAGGCCCTTCCTCAGTGTACATTGGGGGTGTTCCTGCCATCACCCCATTCCTGGATCCCCCCTCACTGCCATCCACCAACCGTGGCCGCTCCCCCTGGACTCAGTGAGCAGGGGTCAGTAGGCCTGAGTTTGGAGCCACCTGCTGCCCACCCCACTGGCCTCACCACACTCCTAGCTCACTGTCCTGCTCCCATGCCCCAGACCTTCCTGGAGATGGACATTGAGTCCCAGCCCGAGTGTGCCTACGACCACCTGGAGGTGTACGACGGGCGTGACGCCAAGGCCCCAGTTCTGGGCCGCTTCTGTGGGAGCAAGAAGCCCGAGCCGGTCGTGGCCACGGGCAGCCGCATGTTCCTGCGCTTCTACTCCGACAACTCCGTCCAGCGGAAGGGCTTCCAAGCGGCCCATTCCACAGGTGAGGACACCTGCCACCGGCCCGGGCAGCTGGCCCGAGGGCCAGCATTTGTTCTGGAGGCATCTGCTGGTCCCGGTCTCAGAGGCAGGCCCGGCTCGGGTGGGCTTACAAAGAGCCTGTGAAGGCGCAGACAGACCGAGCCTGGGCCTGGCTGGAGAGACAGTGTGTGCTGAGGACTAGGCCAGGGGAGCAGAGAGGGAGCCTCCTGGGCGAGGAAGAGGAGGTCCTGGTTGGGGGCTGGGGAAGTGGCCCTTCGGAGGGCAGTGATGACAGGAGGTAGGGAATCTGGGTCGGGGAGGGAATCCCCAGATTTCCCAATGCGAGGACACTGGACTTTGTCCCCAAATTCACTCTTCATTCATTCAGTATCTGCTTACTAACATGTAACATGTATGAGGCAGCATTCTAAGTGCGGGTCACAAAACGTATGAAGCAGACAAACAACTCAGCCCTTGAAGGGCTTCCTCTGTTTCATTTGTTCATTATTTAACAACCATTTACCGAGCTCTGGTCATGAGCAAGAAGGCTATGGGACAATGGTTATGCCTCAGACCCCACTCACCCCGGAAACTCGAGGTCCAGGAGAGAGACGGACTGCGCAGGTGATTACAGCAGGAGACAAAACATGATAAGGGC